CTAGTCGTCGAACTGCACCCAGTTCCGCCCACACTGGCTCATAAAATTCTCAGAACTCATCGACACTTCAACCTAGGTAGGTTATCGCCCAGATTTCTTTGGGATCCTTCCCTCGCTCCTGACATCGAAAGAGATCTCTGAAGCGAAAGACAATTGAAAATAGTATCAATGAACACTCGTGTCTAACACTTAAATATTAACAAGTCCATTGCTGTTTTATGAAGGACGCAGGTGCAACATAATTCTACGTAATCCTTGTCAAACATTTCTATTTTGTAGCTGCTTGAAGCTTGTTATTCAAGTTTCAACGAAAGGCGTAATTTGAAAAGGTCTGATCTATAAACTACTTTATGTTGATACTTCTACCAGTTTGGCTAACGCATGGTGTCGCGCTCATCCCACGGCGAACCCTATGTAGCTTTTCACCGACACGATGTCTTTACCCTGGACTTTGCATTTTCTTCTTTTTTTTGGTTTGATTGCGACTGATCGCGACCTATCGTCATTGTTAGGAATAGAGCACGGGATGTATTTGGTCCCCGGGACCAATTTTTGGTTTTTGCTGCTTTGAAACCAAAAACTGGTAACGGGGACCAAATACATATTATATTATTGTATAACATAACAAATACCAAATAAAATAAATAATAAAATGAATAAATATAAAAATATCTTATTTATAAATATATAAATAATAAATAAACAAATAATCAATACCAAATGCATATTATAATATTTTTTTTGGATGAAGCCTGTTTTGATACTCTTTGGATGCTCTTGATAGCATAAAATATCGAACGTAACCATCATGTAATCTTATCACTCTACGAATTTCCTGACACACGCACACAGGCTGCAACCTGAACTACAGTCTTGCTCGCTGCGAACGGAGGGGAGTGCCAGGCGGGATGGGTTCGCAACTCGGCCAAGCCCATCCTTCACTAGTTGCTGGAACCGGTACGCAACAACAAAAAGGACTGAAAAGGACTCAAATGATATGACACAGTATTGTCGCTTGCTCGCTTCAGTAATTGGTGTGCAACGAGTTTGGCCTCGTGCCAAAGAAATCCCGCCTGACATGCCCCTTCATCCGCAGCGAGCAAAACACACACGCACATACAGTCCTCATCATTGCGAACTGTCGGGGCGGCACAGCCGCGCTGCACTGTGACGCGACAGCGGCTGCGGCTCGGTGACGGTGAATCAGCTGATTTCGATGGAATTCGGCTGCAAATTCCCACTTTTTCAGCTCTTCAAGCTTCGAAAGTGGAAGGTGAGTTATTTTGAACAATTTTAAATTGTACTGGCTCTAATTTCCTTTATTTTATGTCTATTATTATGCTCTTTTCCTTGTATTTTGCCTTATTTCAGGCATTTATTCAAATGGCTTGCATTCTTTCAGATTCATTCAGAGCCAGTACAATTTAAAATTGTTCAAAATAACTCACCTTCCACTTTCGAAGCTTGAAGAGCTGAAAAAGTGGGAATTCGCAGCCGAATTCCATGGAAATCAGCTGATTCGCCGTCACCGAGCCGCAGCCGCTGTCGCGTCACAGTGCAGCGCGGCTGAACCGCCCCGACAGTCCTCAATGATGAGGACATGGTACCACCACAAACGCACCACACACAGACGCCTACAGGACCAGTACCAACCGAGGGGACTGTGTAACTTGCCTTTTAACTTAGCTGCGCGTCAGCTCCCAATAAAAAAAAAATAAGCGCTGATTCTGGTTCGGCTCCAGAAAACCGTGGTTTGCTCTATGATGGTTGTTTATCGTCAGGGCACATCATCGTTGGGGAATATCAACACGGGGGGGGGGGGAAATATTTCGTCGTCTTAAAAAAAGTTTTTTTGATAGTTGTTTGTTCTTGTGGTCAGGGACAGAGTGCCCATATTCCTCGTTGTTAGCAGAGAGGCTGGTCGATATTGCCCTCAGGTCTTCTCAGGATGAGTTCGTTGACTTTTTCATCGGTTTTCCCTGCTTCATATGTGGCTACACCCCCCACCCCCACCCTCAACCTCAAAAAGGCGGAAAAAGAAGGGGGAGGGGTCGGACGTACTCAACCGAAATCCCCAACTAATGGTGTGCCCTGGTATCAACAGCAACAATTTCATCCCGAATTCCCAATTTTTATGAAATTTTCAGGTGAAGCTTCTGAAATCTTCAACCCGTCAATATGCTTTACGCCTATGAGATAGTAGTCGAATGCATCTGCAGTATGGGTCTGATGACCAACGTTCTACTGCTATTCGTAGTCATGAAATGTCCTTTAAACACATTCGCTTTGGCAAAATACTACTTCATTTTGGTTTCCGTGCAGAATTTCATCATGGTGACATGCTATTTGATTTTAGCACCGGTAAGTTCTCTCCATTTGGCGCTCATTTCCGAAGAATTTTCGGCGGTAATATAATAATTTTGATGTGGGAATTTCAAGGGCCTCTTATGCAAAGCTGGGGTGGGTTTACGTCAGCCGTGTATTCACCGCAGCTGAAATCGTCTTTACCAACAAAATGCTCTACCAACAGGGTTGATTCAGCCTCCAGGCCTAGGTCAGGCTGCGTCCATACTTCGCGATTCGGTACCGGAATTTGAGAAATGCGAGCCTATGACGCACCACAGTCC